TTATCAAGCATGAATTTTCAGTGGGGGGGGGCACTTGGAGGGCACAGAAAATTTGTGGGGGCAGGCCCTCCCGTAGCTACGCCCCTGATGCGTAGAAATGTTTTAAGTGCAGTGCACTGAAGTCACGTGAAATTTCCCCAGTGCTCGTGGTATTTTAGAACAGTGCAAAGTAAAATATTCCAAGACCAGTGAATTTTGCACATTGAGAGATGCACGTTGAATAGCAGTGACGTGGCGAACCTTCGCACAGTGGTATGTCCGTGACGTTCCACTGGCCGTTGGCTTGACACTGGGTCATCAAGACGCTGGGACCGGAGCTGAGACGGAATCCTGGAGCACAGCCTATCCCGGTACGAGTGAACAACCGCCGCTCCATAGAAGTCACACGATGGTTGCTGTTCAGCTTCAGGGGCGGGCAATCTGGACAAACATAACATTGTTTATCATATATCACACACAGCTGACTGTACAGTACAGAGACAACATTGTTCAACACAGCACACACAATGGACTGTTTATGCAGGGTTTCTTATACATAGGAGGCACAGTGGCGCACCGCCGTTGTCAAATTTAACATCGCCGTTGTGAAAATGTTCCTGTATTTACTGATAAGTATATCCTGTATCTATATACCTATATATTTTAGTATATCAATACATCCTGTATTTGAATTCATAATGCGCGTATTTTCTCCAAACTGGCCATTACCTCCTTTTTTGCCCTCAGAAGAAACCCTGTTATGTATATCTCTCTCTCTCTCTCTATATATATATATATATGGCCAGAGATAGATAGATATATAAATAGATACTCGACCTGTATTTGCACAACAAATTTAAAAACAATCATGCAGAATGTGATGAATCCACTCGAACTTTGACATGTTTCTGACGTGTGACACACAGTAAGTCTATCAATATTCTTTAATTATTTCATCATTATTCTGTGTGTGGGGGGGGGTGGACACAGCATCGATTCATCAGGGGGAGATACGAACCTATGGAGAAGACGATGTTGAACCCCAGTGCACCTCCTGATCTACTATCGCTGGAGAACTTGACGAAGAAGGAGCCGGTGTTGCTGAAGAGGAGCAGGGGAGGAGGTTGGTCGCCGGTGAAGCCATGCTCGTCGTCTAGCTGTATCAGCTGCCCCGTGTCCTCGTCCTTACCGGCAAACACCTGTTATATAACACGCGTGGGAGTAAAACACACAGCACTTCATCTCACAGAGTAGCTCATTTCTCACTTCTCATACTCAACTCGACTGCCACTTGAATCAAACCAAACGGACAAACACACTTACACAGTACAACGGCCACTGCAATCATTAGTAACACAAGAGTAGAGTGATGTTTTTACCTGTAATACGTTACTCTTGTGTTTGGGGTAAATCAGGAGCTAATAATATTAACAATACCAAAAGCTAATAAGACTTTTAAGTGGTATTACTAGCTATGTTTACATTATTGTATCTATGCAATCACAACTCATAACTGCACTAGAGCTCGTTATTGCGCTGTGAAATTGCAATCAATGATATATCTATGTAATAGAGCAACTAGATATATAACAGGATTTGCAGATTCCCTGATCTTCTGTCGTCACAGTTGTCAATATAATTTCATCGCTCAGATTAGCGCTACACGATATTGATTGATTTATAACTTCCTCATTGAAGAATGCGCCATAACCGCGCTGTTTGCGTAGCCACGCCCCCCAACCAATCAGCGAGGGGGTGCTCCCCGTGTCGGGCACGACCGGCATGGCGCGACCGCGCGACTGCAGGGCGCGGAATAGCAGGGCGCGACCCAAACTGCATGCAGTGCACTTTCGTACACTCAGGATACGAGTGTAGATTGAGCCCATGAGCGAGAGCGCCATCTGTCGTGGAGTTTGGGCGCGACCGCGCGACCACAGACTCCGTCACAGAGAGGATATCGGAGTTACCATGGTGTCGCGGCGTGAGATCCCGGGGCTATCGGGTGTGTCGTATATACATATAAACACACGTGTTTTGTATATATTTATTTTTGGGTTAAATCCGTATTCACCAGATTTTTTCCTACACCCGCAGCCGCGTGACCCGTGTACATGTGCCCTTGCACGTGCGTGTACCTGTGTGCAGTAACTGAGCGCACAGTGCACACACACACATATGCGCGGGTGCGTGTGCCTCTGCTCTGTACCTGTATGCTCGCGTGATATGCGCGCTCACGTGTGCATGAACGCACGCGTGTGCGCGCACGCATCCTTGTTTGCGCGCTGGACGCTTTCATGCGTGCACGCCCGAACGTAGATCGCATCAAGAGCGTATTAACGACCCTTCTTTTGAAAATATTATCATGAGCAGTCTTATGTGAGTGGCAGAAATCCTCACATGATATAGCACACGCATAACATCCAAAAGAAAATCCAATATTCACAGTTCCTTAGTTTCTCAAATTGATACCCTGCATTGCTATATGCACTACACTGCATCCCATGACTATATGTAGACTCCTGATATATATATATATATAAACTGCTGCAGAGTGACACTTTGCTTACCTGTTTGCTTGTGCTGTTGACGAACGACTTGAACTGTACATTGTCGTTGCTGTAATCTAACGAGAATAGCGTAGTAAAGCCGACGGACCCGTCACGCCGAGGTCCGGCCAGCAGATGTATCCCCTCAACGACAACAGGTGCCCGCAAATCCACCTGGAAGTAGAAGCAAGCATAGAGACTGTCTTAGTAGTTATTTCTACAATTTTTCATTTCACTGCAGGAAATGAAAATCAATATAAAGCTTAAATTGACATCATTCTCGTATGTTTTCGTAGCTAGGGTTTTCACGGGCTCCCTTAACTTCAATGTCTTACAGTACATACCAATCATCTCAAGTTCTTACAAACAGTGTAAAATGAGACAGACCTTCAAGATTAAAAAACAGATAAATATGGAAACAACACCAACCGGGCAAAAGAAATGTATAAGCCATGTTTTCTGTGCTCTCAACATTTTTTTCAACTGCACAAATTTTCACATTTATGAAATCTTTTATGAATCAAACTAGAGCATGGTCAGGTCTTGCTTACCGTTATCCACCTGGCGCTTTCCTCACCCTGAGCACACCAGCTGTACGTACTGTTTACACTTATATCCTACAAAACATAAACACAAATTAACATAATAAAATACTAATATAATAATACATAATATCAAGAGCAGATAAAGAACCTTCTTTATCTGCTCTTGATAATATAATATAAATATAATTATGCGATTTTCCTATACACGTGCATATAGGCAGCTGATACCTCAACTGACAAACCTACCATGTATACAGGGCATCAATGCTAGCTTGGGATAGATGGCCTTATTAACATTCTTAGCAAATGTAGCGCACCACGTGTAAAGCCTGTAGATTCGATTTAACCCTGTGCCATGGTGTTTGCCACTAGAGATGCGTTAACTCAGACTATTTCTTTGTAGAACTAAACAAACCCAAATTGACTGGATGACACCGTAAATGAAATGAACTAAGTGTGCCAGCAGCACTATACCACTATACCGTGTGAGGCTCATACCATTTTAGAGTGGATGCCGTCGTCTCCTGATACAAACACTCTGTTGGGTCCGTAGAGACCAATGTCCTGTGAGTGAGCGTACGGCCCACAACCTGTACAACACAAGAAAACACGGAGTTTAATTCCCACCAATAACCCTTCTCACTCGCCACTCAATGTGGTGTGTCAGGTCAAACATGCCAGTATTAGCGTTAGGATTACAATTAGTGCTAGGGTTTAGAGTAAGGTTAATTTTAATCTGCTGACAGGAGAAGTGTTTCATGTTTTCACACACGTAATTGTCCTTTGATGTGCAGTGAACTGTGCCCAACAAATTAGATGCATATAAGCAAGAGCTATAAGGTATTATTAGCTCTTGATATAGGTGTACATTTAAAAACATTGGCAGATATTTATGCTTGAACGCTGGTTAACAACAATACCCTGACCTTCCCCTGACCTTTACGTGACCTTCCTCTGACCTCCAATTGACTACAATTTTCTCTAACAAATTGTGATTGGGCACGTGTGCCAATAGGAGCCATAGTATGATGTGTGCAATTAAAATTAATAACATAACACTTGTCTGAACTCTGCACATAGCAAATACTGACAAATACTTATCAAACACTACTGACTTTCCACTTGAAAGTATTTATTTATGTTTATTCGTACCTATGTTAGGTGTGTAGCTGTCCTTGCACTTGCACTCGTAGCTTCCATCGGTATTGATGCAGTCGGTCGTGTCAAGGTCACAAGGAGAAATCCTAGCGTTGCACTCGTTGACATCTAAGCGAAAAACAATACATAAATTTCTTATCACGACGAGTTAAGTATCACGTCACGATATGATATGTAACGTTACACTCATTCATATTTGAGTGGAAACAGATTGTAAATAACTTCTCGAGTTTTGTATTATGTGGCGATATGATATGTAACGTTACACTCATTCATATTTGAGCGAAAATAGAACGGAAAAAATTTCTCAAGTTTCGCATCACGTCGCGATATATGTAACGTTGTACTAATTAATATCTAAGCGCCAGAGACGAAAACATTCTGTCAACAGAACGTAAATAACTTACTCAAGCTGTTCATTACACAACAACATGATCATGTATAACGTTACACTCATTAATATTTGAGCGAAACATGACATAAACAAGTTCTCGAGTTTTGCATCACGTCGCGATATATGTAACGTACGTTGTACTAATTAATATCTAAGCGCCAGAGACGAAAACATTCTGTCAACAGAACGTAAATAACTTACTCAAGCTGTTCATTACACAACAACATGATCATGTATAACGTTTTCGCTGATGCACTGTACCATCTCAGGCACCGGCGAGAATCCCGGACGATCGCAGATGAAGTAGACTACGCTGCCGAGGTCGTACGACGCGGCGACCTTACGCCCGCTCGCTGGCGTGCCCGGGTCCGAGCAACCCGAACCTGCAAGAACAAGAGAGCGTCACCCTCGCGTCACTCCCCCGGCGCGACAACGACGACGACGGGTGTCGAAACCGCTGCAATGGGAGGAGATGTATAGTGGAAAATGTAGCGTGTGCCTAAAACAAGTGATTTGTGGATGTTTCCCCCTTCTTTTTCCCCTTTCTAACCTTTGACCCTTGACCCCCCGATTATTGACCCCTGCGTCCCGAATACCAACACCGTACATCAAGCTATTCAAATGTGTGCCAATGTTATTGATGGCTGGACGGACGGACGGATGATCGAACGGATGGACAGAAGTACAGACGGACGGACGCTTATCCAATTCTACAAGCTGCATTTGACTGTGTCAGATGACTTAGAAACGCATTTTCAATGTCTGTTTGATTCGCTCCTGGCTACGTCTATAAGCTTGATGTGTGTGTATGAGTAACAACAGCAGCTCGCTCACCAGCACAGTGTAGGGTGCCGTAGTCCCAGTGTCCATCCTTCGCACACACGACAATGTTCTCTCCCACGGGCCCGCTGCCTCGCAGCGCAAGGTTTTCTTCACATTGTATCCTGAAGGTGGAGCCATAGGTCGTGCTGCGGAGACCCACGAACACACCGCTAGGCACGTTGGGCTGTCCGCAGTCAACAGCTGAAGCGGGAGCAGAAGAATGGTTATATTTATTATTATTATTGTTATTGTTGTTGTTGTTGTTGTTGTTGTTTTTGCTGCTGGTGGTGGTGGCTGTGTTGTTATTGTTGTTGTTATTTTTGTTGTTGTAATACATATTATCAAGAGCATATAAAGAAGCCCTTCTGATATATAAGAATACCCTTCTTTATATGCTCTTGATATTATCACGTATTATAAACTGCACAATTATTTTATTTACAACTTATACGTGACGCTGACTGATTTACTGATGTTCTTTAAACATGGTGATCACCTGGCACTACAGGAATGTGTGCCAGTAACACACTCAACAAAACTGCCATTGTCGTCACAGTGGCACCAACTCAAGTCATAAAAGCACGAAGGCATCATGAATAGGACTACAATGAGCTAATACATCATTCGTGCTACATAGGTTAACACTCACGTGTGCACTTTGGCTGAGGTCCGACCAGCCAGTAGTTAGGGAATCCAGGCCGTGGATCAAACACACAGTATCGCGTACTGCTGAACGCCGTGCCCAGGTTGAGAACAAATCCCTCCTCCTCACAAGTCAGCCGAACCTATGTACAGAGTATGAACTCAGCGGGGTTTGCTAAGGGAGTTATAGGGATGCTATTTCGAAAACACGCCATGTTCAATATTTTATATTAATTTATATTTGTGAAATATTATTAAAATATTGGTATAAAAAGATATTGATTTCATGTTTAGTTTTTAATCGGTTAAAGTTTAATTTGACAATTTTTCCATGTACAGTTGCGATACCTGTATAATTACAAACTCATCATCGTTCACATATACTTATCTTCACATGTTACATGTTTATTATCGTTAATGATATAAATCTGCTAAGCTGTAAACCGTGACCTTACTATGCAGTACCAATCTGACGATTATATAGCAGCTAGTAGTTATTACACAAAACATGATTCTATAACTAACCTAACCCTAACCCCCTATGCTCAGCCTAATATTAACCCCTGCCATAACCCCAACCCCAACACTGGCCCTGATCCTAACCCTATCCCTAACCATCAGGTACATGCACATTATAGCCGATACACACTTACCTGCTGCCCATAGTTAACTGTTACACTGGGAGGTGAGACAATAACCCCATTCTCTCCATTCACCAGATTCTGACACAGTGCCTCTGCAACAAATACTCGTTCACATTACTAAATTACACGTGTCATGTTAAGGCTAAAGCGAACAGGGTAATATTAGCCATGTACTATAATTCTATTTGATAATTTGTGCCGATTGGTGACAACGGAGTGCAAATTATTAGCGCAATAAACACACATAGTAACACACATATGCCACATCAATCACCAATTATGAATAAATAGGTGTTAAACCTATAATAGTAGCTGTAAAACCACAATAATATGTGTGAGGCCACGATAATTGGTGTAAACCCACAATAATAGCTGTGAATCCATAATAACAGGCGTAAGACCACAATAGTAGGTGGAAAGCCACAATAATAAGTGAAAAAGCCACTATAATAGGTGTGGGAGCACAATAACACGAGTAAAACCCATAATAATAAGTATAATGCTACAATAATAGGTGAAAACCCACTACAGTAGGTGTGCAGGCACAACACTGAACGTCGATTCATACCTCGGCATGTTGGAATCTCTCCGACCCAGTTGCCATCGGCCGCACACTCCATGTAGTTGTTTCCCTCCCACGTGTAGCCGATGTCACATTGGAAGAACACGCGATCTCCATACTTGTAGTTCTCCTCTAGTCCCAGCACAACTCCGTTATCCAGTCTCGATATGAGAGATGGTCCACACGACTTCCCTGATAAACACGATGAGAAATGTGCATGAGCATAGTGCTTCCTCGGCATGCAACATACTCTCCATACTCACTACTACAGACTCCATACTCTCCATGACTGATACACACCTGCACAAAATCGTTTTCAGCCACTTGGAACTGATCGAAGTACATTGCGAGCGGTTCGTCGGTAGGTGTCGCCACCTTCCACGTGCAGGTTCGGGACTGCGGGTAGGCAATTAGATAGTTTCCGGGCGAAGCGAAGCTGCCAAAGGTAGCGGTGATGAGATTGTTGCAACCTGAAATAAAACCACGCACGACATCAGCATACACGTTGACTAATCAATACCCAGATAATAGAATGGAAGGATAAATGATATACAGCCTCATTTGAGTGCCAACTGATAACAATAATTATATCAAGAGCTAATAATACAGAACTTTAACAATGTACATCATTAGCTCTTGATTATACTCATACATTCGTGTAAACCGACCAGGCTCTCCGACTGTTACTCCTACTGCCTACGTAGTGTTAAGCGAGAAGGGAACTTGTGACTTAACATTCGTGATGCGAAAGTTAATTAACGGAGAATTAATGAATAGTTTATGGCAGAACCGTGACATGCAAACACAGAGATAGACATGCAAGACCTACGTCATTACGTTGTAAAGATGAGAAGGATAATTAACAAATCTCATCTATAGTCTGGTGCTCTCACAAGGAAATGACGTCATCGCACACTGCCCTAGCTAGACCTTCTCCTCACACTGACAGAGCGCGTGAACGCGTGACCATGCACTGACGGAATTACCAGGGTTGGGGCGTGTCGAGAGAGAACAGGATTCGTGCACAGACACGAATGTATAATACATTTAATTACATGCACACACGTCGCCATTGTCGCCGGAATCTCGTTCCGTAAAGTCGGACGGTAATTAAGCACAACGACTTCCGCCATGAATACTTGATCTGCCGTCATCATCTACCGCCGTCATCTACTGCCGTCATTGAAATGTCACGGTCAGCGGTAATGCTCTTATATACGGTGACATATCGCCAAACCCCGTAACGGCGACAACAGCCAGCCTACCATGCCTGCATGATACTGTATGTAACAGCCTACCATACCTGCATGATACTGTATGTATAGTAGCCTCACATACCTGCATGATACTGTATGTATAGTAGCCTCACATACCTGCGTGATACTGTATGTGGTAGCCCTTGTCACGGATCGTCGTGTCGGAGTAGAAGTGGAGGTAGAGCGTGGCACCGCTGGAGATGAGAAACGTCGGACCTTCCTTTCCCGTGTAGGTATGCAGCAGAGGCGACGTCGGCAAGCCACCGTCTCTAACCTCCAGGTAGTCGTTGACATACTCCAGCGCCAACTCTTTCAGCTGAATGTGAAGACAGAACAGAAGCGTCACGAGGGGGCAGCAGTGTCGACAGCAAAGGCAGTCGTCGCTGCCATGTTGAGTCGCTCGTCGATAATTGCTCGACAAATCTTAAGCAAACCGCGTGGGTTGAGTTTATAGAGAATATACTCAATATTGTACGCAGTGAGGTTAGTTCTGATGTTGAAGGAGCGAGCGCGGCAGTGCATGGGGTGGGGGCAAGGGCGAGGGTTAGGCGAGGGTGAGGCAAGGGTGCGGACAAGGTTAAGGGCATGTGTGAGGCAAGGGTAGGGGCAAGTATGGGATAAGGGTAGGGGTAGGGACAAGGGTGGGGCAAGGATAGAATTAGGGTGGGAGATGATGGGACAAGCGTGGGACAAGGGTCGGAAAATGGTTGAGCTAGCGTGGGGCCGGGTAGGGAACGGTGGGGACAACTACATGATGATGTTATATGTATGAGTTACATCGTACCTCTAGAGTGATGAGCTCGTTTCCTGGAGCTGTGATCATGTAGACGCATTCCATGCCGTTGTAATATTGGTCGGGATAGAATGGTGACGTTAGATCCCGCTTGTCACTCAAGGCCACCAGGTCCCTGTCTCCACAGTCGACCTCGACTAACGTAACGATAGATGAACACAGAAAACATCACCGTGAGAGATTGAACGTGATAGGATTACAACGGATATGATTAGATAGGATAGTATCGGTTAGGATATGAGCGCGGATAGGATTGTAGGATTTTAGTAATACCCCGGGAGGCGAAATTTTTTTCCCCACGAGAGTTCCGGACCCACCACAGATAGTGTTTTGTAATATATGGTGCGTATATAAGACAAACCTGGTTGGATTATAGTTAGTGTTAGGGTTCGGTTTCTGGTTAGGGTTAGGGTTAGGGTGTATAAATTTTACATTGTTGCTTCGAGGAAGTCGAGTGAATGGAGTGCGCTGATTGGCTGTGGTCCGGAGCTTAAGTGGGAAAAAAAATTTCGCCCCCGGGAGTGCTAGCGTATCTTAGGTACGTTGAGGGTGTATCGTCTTACTTTCACGTTTACTTTATTCAGCTTTCTCCTCTAGTTTGACAGTTTGTGCATGTTGCCGTCTTCTCCATGCGCGCTATCGTTAGGGTGTATTTATGTTATATTATCATAGTTGGCGTGATAAACGGTGACAGTAACTAACACCAAAGCACGGAATGCCAAACATCGCAGTTTTTATGTCTAGGTTTACTATTGTAACATATATACCCCGTACAGACTACGAATTTTAGCGCGGGTCAGACGCGCGTCCTTAGAGGTCGCGTAGAATAACACCCTGGGTTTACACTACTGACTTTATGTTGGCGAATTGGCGAGTTGGACCAATTTCGCAATTCGGCAACTCTGAGTTGGTGAAAATAGATCATGTTCTAATCTCCCAAAACTAGTTGCTATCGACTGGTTGGTCGCGCAACTTTTGCGTTTACACTGCCGAATGTCGGTTGTATAGTTGGGAAGTTGGTCCAATTCGCCAATTCGCCATCACAAAGTCAATAGCGTAAACAAGTATATGCCGTCGTGTAGAACGGCGCGTGGCTGCCCCCCTGTGGCGCATGCGCAGTCGGATACCTGCCGTCCATCGCGCCTGGAAGCCGCTTAGCTCGACCTGCGAGTCAGCGTGAAACTTGACGATCATGAGGTTGTTGTAGCTGACGTAAGTGCTGCTGCTGCTGCTGCCGCTGTCATCACCATCGGCTGCCATCTCCGGCGTGCCCGACAACTGCGCGAGCGTGTAGCTCAGCTCGTCGGTACGGCTCCCGCTCAGTATGTGCACGTAGTCCAATCCCTCCTCCGTCTTGACGTCATCAAACTATAGCGTGGGAAAGTAAAGATGACGTCATCAACCCGAGTATAGGAATGTGACGATGACGTCAACAAACCGCGCGGTAGAATGTGACGATGCCGTCATCAAACTGCGTGATGGAACGTGATCATGAAGTCATCAAACTACGCGGTGGAACGGGACGATGACGTCATCAAACTGCGCGATGGAACGGGACGATGACGTC